TGTAAAAATGCTGTATTAGTTTAACTCTGTCAGACTATAAACCTGGTCATACATTCATTCCCGTATTCCCAAGAGTTGGTTTAGTGCTAACCCAAAGGAAATACTCAATAACTATTTGCAAAATTGAATTAAAATAAAGTATATGGCACTTTGTATTTGTGAGGTAATAGTGTCCTTTTTCTACATAGTCTTAGGCCAGATGACAGCAACAAGCCTCCTTTTACTCTGTGCCAATTTCCAGTAAAGAAAAAAATTTCCCAAATTCAGAATATCTGCCTTTGAGGATTTGTTTAAGATGTCCCTGTGATGAGTTAGAAAATAGCATATTCCAGTGTGTGGAGGACAGGTCACAGGCTTAGGTTTTGACATTGACTTTGATTTACTATATTAATTCAAAGGATCTGCTTGGCTCTCTTATTCTCAATTTCTGTTCCCATCTACTCCCCAAAATAACAGTAACAATAATGAAGGTAAATTGCTTCTCTTGTGCCACAAGCTGAGATAAACCTTCACTGGCATTATCATCACTTTTAATTATCATATCAACTTTGTGGGTTTGGTGGAATTTTTATACCCTTTTTATACACAGAGGAACTCAGACAAATGATGTTAATAAATTGCCTAGGACTGCTCAGCCAGTTACCACGTCTGTCTGAATCAACCCTCAAGAATGCTACAGACTCCCTAAACCTGCAACAGTCAACATCAACACTCTCCCAGCCATATATTGGAAGCAAAGAGAAAAGTCACATGAATGCAATCAAATAATAATTACTAGTACATGGGTGCTAATAATTACCACTTATTAAATACTTACCATGTGCTTCAGATTATTATATCAATTGATTCATTATCATAACCCTCTGAAGAAGCCATTACTTTATTGCCATTCAAATTTGAGGGAACTGAGGCTTTGCAGGGTTGACCAATTTAACAAAGGTTATTCAGCCAGTAAATTGCATAACTTAAATATCATTTATTTTATCCTAAAGCCAATGTTGGCAAATGATTAATGTGCCAAACCATACTCCAAATTATATAGACAGAAAAAGTAATCTTGAAAATAGGATGTTCCTGTGTTAATAGAAGATTTGTTATTTTCATATCTCTAATTCCCTGTTAAAACTCTTTTTCTAAATCTCTGAGGGAATGTGAGATGAAAGCAGTGAAATGGATTTAAGCCCTCTAAAAGTAGACACTACCAAGCAACCAAGCATTGATCTAGCCTACATCTACATAGGCCACTTACAATAGAAGATTGAATTTCCATAAAAGGAAAGAGCTTTTTTCAGATGCTATTGCAGAGCCTGGGTATACGCCAGCCTGAGTCATAGATGCAGCCCTGTGTCATATGTAAAGGTCCATTTGATAGATGTCAAAAATTCCTTCCACTTTCAAAGCTCTGGCCTTTTGCAGATATGACATCCTTATGAACCTACCCACCAAACAACCACGGAGAGTCATTTCAACTCTTTTGAATAAAACAACTAATTCAAATCCTGCCTCCACCATTCACTAGATGTGTGAGGTTGGACAGGTTACTCTATACCTCAGCTTCCTAATTTGTACAATGAGAACAATAATAGTGTCTCCCTTATAAGGATAGTTTTAGGATTGAGTTGATACAGGTAAACCACTTAAAAATGTGACAATGCATAGTAAGCATCCAATAACTGCTAGATGTAGTTGTTTTTATCTGTCATTTTATCTTTTTCCCTCTAGAATGTTCTTTGAAAAGATTCTGTCGTGTCAAATGACATGTGTATATGATTACTCATTCAGTACTGTGAAAGATTTGAAAAATCTAAATTACATAATTTAATTTCATAAATTATGGTGCTTTAATATGGAATGCTAACCTTCTATAACAAAGAATTAAGAAACTCTTTATGACATATGAAAATACTCCAAGATACGTGTTGAAATAAAAAGTAATATGCAGAACTGTGTTGTATTATGCTACCATTGATAGAAGAAAAGAGGAGAGGCTAATGTAACCTAATATGTGTACCTAATGTACCTAATATTTCCTTATATATGCATAAAAGATATCTGGTACCTAACAAACAAAAAGTTAAAAAGTAGTTTCTAGTTGGATGGTGGGTACTGGGCAGACAGAGGATGGGGTGGGATGATGACTTTCATTCTATAGTTTTTATTTCTCAACTATTTAAACCAAGTCTGTCCCTTGATTAACCAACTGTGTTATATTAAGGTTTGTTTTTATCACCATCATCATCATCACAATTTCTTTGTCATCAGCATTTTATGTATGTAAGAAGGGATTCTGGGAAGTTTCAACTGGAGAAATATGAAAGAAGAGTCATGGAAAGAGATATTAAGGAGCAGTTGCCAGGAAACATACTTCATAAGTTTCTGAAAAGTTGGTAGGCCATCAAAATTTTGGACAACTGTCCGTTTTCCTGTGGCCCACCTCTCTGTAGTTTGATGACTTAGAATGTCCATCAACCTAGACTTCGGTACATGGGAAGATGTTTATTTTTCTCAACTGCAGATTGTCAATTATGTGAGTGGCAAAGATCAGGGCTTCTGGGCTTTTAGGTACTTAGTTTAGATCTTTCAAATATTCTGGCAAGATCAGTTGAAATATGAGATATATAGATCCTCCCAACAGGCCAGTCCTATGCTCTGCTGGCTGTTCCCAGGACTTAGAGTCCAAGAAAATTAATAGATATGAATGAAGAAAAACTTTGAAAACTGACAATGCAACACAATATCTAGTAAGACTCACAGCTTTATTTCTGCTAGAAAAAAGGAGGAAAAAGTCTTTTTTTTGTTTGTTTTTACAAAAAGTTTAAACAATTGCTTCACTTTATCTGATAAAGTCCCCTGAAGAATGAAACCCTCTGGGTTGGAGAGGGTGCTCTTTCTAATCATACTGCATTCCCAAATTTTAATTCAATTATAAAGTTTCTCTGGACAATCCCAGGTAGGTCTTATTCATGGTTACCATACTCCCCAAAAGCATAAACAACAGATTCCCAAAAAATAACTGGCTTATCTTATTAGAGTGTAGGAAAAAAATACCTAAAAATATTAGAGTTGCATAGCCATTCAAATTATTGCTTCTGTTTAGAAAATCATTACAGGTAATTCTGCACTAACTTCCTTCTTTCCTCTCACCAGAAACTCAGGAATTCCTAGCAAAATTATGAGCTACTTTCCAAATGAAGCCTTAGGGAGGGTTTGCAAGTACATGTATGGAACCCAATGAATTTTCATGAAAGGAAGGGAGAAATAAATTAAATAAATAATATCTAATAAATAACTCAGACAACATTCATTATCTACAACTTTAAATGCCAGAAAATGCTAGCTTCAAGGATAGATCACCCACAGCCTCTCACAAAGGTAAATGCCAGTGTAGCCTCAGAAAGAACATAGGATGGCTTTAGAAGTCATTTTATTTGCCTATACCCTCTAGGGCAAATCAGAGTGAGGAGAAACCACTTTGGTGGCTGATGGAATTTAAGATCTTTCTACAGGTTTCAAGTGGATTTACAAACCAAGGGTACAAAATACAGCAGGGTTAGTGCTGCAAGAAAAATGGAAAGAAAATAACTTAGACTATTAATAAATAAGAGGGTAAAAAAGTTAAGATACACAGGCAAGTTTTAGAGAATAGCTGAGCTGGAGAAAATGACATACTTATCTGCCTTACCAGTTTTATTCATTGGCCCTGTTTGTGTACTGTGCATCCTAAACTTATCCTCTCTGGCAGGACCACAATGTGATCCACTATTATATAAACCAGTTAGGTTTTTGATTTGTTTTAATAACTGTCCTGGCAGATTGAACAGGACAGTAATATTTCTCAGGTCACATTTCTCTGGGCAAAAAAATAATTTGACAAAATTAGTGCTAATATAAAGGAAAGAGGAGTTACTACAAGAAGAAGAAATATTCTGCAACTCAGGAATAACCTGTGATGAAGACATAGCTTGGTAAAAGCATTTGCTGACCTCCAATTTGATTTCTGCATCCCTATGTCCAGTCAATTAAAGTATTATCTACAATATGTAACAACCTATTATATTTTAGAAGTCAGGAAGAGGGAACAATTAGTGGGGGAACAGGTAAGGAATAATATATGTGTTGGAAAAATTCAGGTTTGGTCAATAAATTGATTGGTATTTGTGCTTCTAGTAAACACGATATTGGTGTGAACAGAGGTCAGTGGTTTTAACCATGTTTTCTTTAACCAAATGAAATTCATCTTGCCAAAGAAACTCTAGGTATTTTCTTTTGGGCAGGTGTGAGCTGGAGGGAGTCTCTGAGCTATGGTTAATTAGTAGATCCAATAGCCATTTTATTGCTCTTGAATTTGACCTGGATTGTTTGCTGATTCCAATAGCAGCACCGGAGTTTCATCAGAATTTCAAGCCCTCTGGTTATGGAGCCTATAAAATGGTCTAGATGACTTCTCTAAGTCCCACTGGTCAGAGTCTGAGGTTTCAGTGACATGCTTGCCCCACCTCTAGTACTGAGAAAAGTGCTTTTGAAATGTTATCAAGAATCGATTTGATGAGATCTCTATTATGGTTCTCAGATTGCTAAGAAAGCCAAGTCCAGCTTTCAGCCCAACAAGAAACAAAGCTAATCTCTTAAAGAACATGCTTTGTTATTCACAGTGACAGCCAAGTTAGATTTCTAACCTCTGGAGGTTATTTTTAGATAGATGCAGAGAAGTCCTCTAATAAGAACCTGAGAGACATCACCTACTGCTCCTCTGGCAACCTTATTGGCCATTCCATGCAAGTGTCCATTTTTTCTTATTCCTCAACCTTTCAGTTTCAAGAAGTATATAAGAATGATCACCAAATTTGAGAACTGTAAAGGACTTTCGGAATCACCTAGACCTAGAACAACTGCCTGGTTTTACGAGTAATTAAACAGAGGCCAGAAATGGAAAATTACTTGGCATAGATCATTCAGTGAGTTTTTGGCACCACTAGAATAGGGCCCAGAGCTTCTGTTCTATTTACATAGATTGTAAACAATTGAATAAATTCACTTGAGGATGCTAAATAAAGGAATCAATACAATTTGAGAAATTGATGAGGAAAGAGGGTGACAGGTATAGGAGGGCCTAAATGGACTAAGATTATTATGTTTGATATACCTGTAGGGTTCCAGTAAGGTCACTGAATCTTCAGCTCAACCACTTGAATTATGAGAAACATCTCCACATTATCCCTCGAAATGCTGGTCTTACTGCCCTAGTCAGTGAATACCGTATTGAGTTGGGCCCCAATACCATGGTGGGGGAAAGAATCATAAGACATATCTATGGGAACCTCATAATGGGGGGTACCAGCCTGAAAGGGAGTTGAATGCACATGCCCTGAGCTTAGACTTGCAGAGGGGTAATGTGGCATGAAGCTATAGGATTTATCCAGGTCAGGAGAGCCATCTTGCTTCAGGGAGAAATTCCCACTGATGCTCAGGGGTGGAGTAAGTGGGCCCTCATAAGGAGGTGTACTGCAGTCAGGTGGATGGCTCCCAAAGGATGATTCTCCCAAACCCTTGAATACTGGAGGTTTGAGATTAATAAGATGCGTTTCCATATGGCCATAAGGAGGGCTGGGGAGCCCAGGAGACTGGTAGTTGAAGTTGTGGACAGAGATGGCGGAGTCACAAATAGGAGATTTCTCCTCATGCTTCTCCAAGAGCACAGACTGAGGGCCCAGCTGGAGGCATCCAGCCACCAGATTGCTCGTGGGCTGAGAGAGCCCTTTGCAGAGCATCTCCACAAAGCCCTTTCCTTCAGGTGTCTGCCCAGTTTCCAGAACCTCAGACAAAGCCCAAATATAGTTCCTGGCCAGTCTCAGAGTTTCTATCTTGGAGAGCTTTTGGGTCTTGGAGTAACATGGCATGACTCTCCTCAGGTTGTCCAGGGCATCGTTCAGGCCGTGCATCCGGGTCCGCTCTCTAGCATTGGCCTTCACTCTTCGAGCCCTGAATCTCTCAAGGCGAGCTTTTGTCATCTTCTTTTTCTTGGGACCCCTTCTCTTAGGCTTCTCCCCATCCTCCTCCTCCTCTTCTTCCTCCTCAATACTGTCATGCTCTTCAGCTAAGTTGCCAAGCATCCCATAAGCACCTGGTCTTCTCTCCTCCTCCTTCATCTCATTCTGAGAGCCCAGACCTTTGTCCATCCAGGATGGTGTGTTGACCGACTCTGTCATCTCCTTGGGTTTCACATAAGGTTTTGCCATTTCCAGATTCTGGAAAAGGAAACTGCAATGGTTAGTGCCTGTGAATATCTGATTTAACTTAAAACTAAACTTTCTTCTTACACATTGAATATAAAGCACAGAATTAGTACTGCATTCTAAATAACTAATCTAAGACTCAAATAAATGCCTAGGACACTAATTTAGCTATGGAAGAGTATGAGAAAATCCACTATAGAAAAAAGGAAATTGACTTGAGTATTCAAGTGCAGTGCTAGTGCCTGACTCTTCGATTCTCAGTTTCTTTGGATATTTTATGCAAAAATGACTAGTATACCAGTAAAAACACTTTTTCTTTCTTCCCAGAATTCAGATCATAAAGGGAAATAAATAAAGTGACCATATAACTTAATGTCCAAAGAAAATTCTGAAAGTGAGAGTGGACTCTAAACTAATTATATTTATATAATACTTTTAATATAATTTTTGCAAAATTTAAAAAGCATGTAAAACAATAAGTAAACTGTTGCACCATAAAATAAATGAAAAACTGTGTGTGATGGGATTATTTAGACCACTGTATTTTATTCTACAAAGGACCGCTCAGCCTCTAGTTGGAGACATATCACAAACATCTAACCTATAACATTCTATGTTTTCCACTGATTCTGCCAACTGTTGGCTTCAAGCATCTCCTAGCAAAGAGCCATGCCACAACATATGACCATGAAGTATTTCTCACCACCACCAGAAGACCACTTTGTCTTTCAGCAAGCGCTTTGTGATCCATCTAGTGTTAGAGGTGTTGGAGGTGTTAAGTGACATGGTGTCCATGGAGGATCAGAAGAGAAAAGGGTCATCACTGATCACCTTTCAAATTTGCCCACACATGGAAGTGAGAACTCTTTTCGCTGCACACACACATGCATCTTACACCAGCAGGCAAGACATGGCAGCAGCTAGAATTACAACTACAATTACTATTGTGATTAAGAATACTTCATTACACTGAAAAATCTGGAACAAAGCTAAACTTAACAGAACATAGTGAATGCAAAATGAGCAAGGATTATTTCAAATACAGAAATAGTCACACTTCCTTTTTAATTCACTTGCCTGACAGATTCTGTTCAATCAGAATTTTCTATGAAAAATTTGCACTTTGAAAACCAGAAGGGACTTGTGGTTTAGTAAATATTTTTCATTCAACTCTGGAAGTGTTTGAATTGTTTTGAGATTTGTTGAGTGATTTGTAGGTATATAATTTACAAAAAAAAGTATCTGATAAGCTTCACTGGGGTATCCCAGTTTACCAGCTAGTGTTTGAAATGTTAAATCCTCCACCACCTTTGTTTATCAGAGAGGGGAGATACATGTTTTTTGACTGTTGAATCTTGATCCTCAAATCAATGAATGCAGGGATTAGTACATAGCTTTTAAAAATACAAATATATGGTTTGATTTGTTTCTGGAAATCTGAACTTGTTTTCCTTGTAACCTCATTTACCTCCTATAAATGTTTAATGTTTCTTCATTGCAAAAACAGCCTAGGTTTCATGTTAATCAGCACGGAAATCATGTCAGCATGACTTACTCACTTAATAAGGCTTCCTGGGTAAGCAGCTTTATTGAAAACACACGTTGGAACCTATTGGTCAACTGGCTGCTGGGCCAAATCAGAAAATCCCACTTTTAATATGGATGATGGAGCTGTGTGCTGAGCTGCCCTTCTAACTCAGGCAGATATCCAGAGGGTGGGTGAAGAACCTAATTAACTTTCTGTTAAAGTAATGCAGACCTCCAGAAGCAGGTGCACTCTGAGGCCAAAGAGGATGGAGTGAGCTTGGGAAATCTAATGTTCCACAAGAAATTATGGTAATATTTGTGTAGCCTTGTAGCAAACCTTTGAAGGAAATAGAGATTATTATGCTCATTTTATAGTCAAGGTCACTGTGGGTCAGGTAGATTAAGTGATGGAAATGCAATGACATAGAGCTGGTAGAACAAGACATAAAACCAGTTCCTCTGACTCTCAATCCCAGGTTTTATGTTTTTTCTCCTTTCTTCACCCATCACAGCTACAGGAAGAAAGAAGGGCACTTTGACTTCAGGAGAGTGGAGAAGCAGAGCTGAGTCACCAGGAAGGGACCCTCATTCAGAGAGAGGCTAGATCAGGTGTTGTCAGCAGTAATTTTTAACACCCATTTTCCAGGATTCCCTCCTCTTTCCAGTTTTTTTTCTTTTCTTTGTTACTTTCACCCATTTATGTACCACCCACCCCCTTCTTTCACCCAGCTTCCTTCTCCTTTTTCTCTTCCTTCTCTTTCTCATCTTCCCTCTTCAGCATCAGCATCATTATCACTGGGTCACACTTACGTGCATGGAGAGGTGAGAAGGAAAAATGCAGGAAAGGGAAAGAGAGTCTGACTTGCCCTTGAATACCATCCTAGGCTCTGTCATTGATTTTTTTTTTTTTTTTACCTACTTCTGGACTTAGCCAAGCTTTGTCAATCCTCACTCCCACCAAGATGTAGGATTAGCAGAATAGAGTGGACTGGCCTTTGCCTTTAATAATTTGATTGTTTCTATGAGCCAAGGAGTGGCTTTCAAATCATATTGTCAGCAGGCATGAAGGAAAAGCACCAACTGGCTTTGTCTAAAACAATGAAAAGGTCAACCAATTTCCATCTTTGTTCTCTTACTAACCATTAGGGTTAGTAAGGATATAGATGACTCCAGGTTAACTTTCTCTTGTCCATTTGCTCCAAGAGAATCCCACTGGGTACATAGTGTGGTTTCCAAAGCATGGAAGCTGAAGTAATACACACTCTAGTCCTGACTCTCATAATTCCTGGATGTTGATCTCTGGCACATTGCATAAGCTCTCTGATCTTCCATTTCCTCTTTGATAAAGATAAGATATATTTTACATGTTTCTTGCAAGACAAAAATATAAGAAAGGATTTTGTAAACTTCAAATGCTAAAAAGTAATATATATATTCATTAATATCTTATGATTATTATTGGGTTTTCTTGTCTAACCCATTCACACATGTTCTTATTCAAAATTAAGAATTGTTTCTCACAGGTGAATAATCAGATTATATTAACTACTGTGCTTCTTATTATCTAGACGGAACCTCCTCTGACTGGCTCAGATCATCTGACAATTGCTCAATAGTCTGCCCTTTCCCAGTGTGGTTAGACGGCAGAGACTGTGGAGTCAGATTACCTGAGTTCAAATTTCAGCTAGATTATTATCTAGATACGTGACCTCAGGCAAGTTTGATAACCTTTCTGTGCCTCAGTCTCTTCCTCTTTAAAATGGAGATAATAATAGTCCTACCTCATAGGATTATTGTGATCCTAACATGAGCTAATATATTCAAAGACTTTGAATAGTGCCAGACATGACAAACGCCATGCAGGTAGGTGTTCAGTATTATTGTTCCTAAAGTTCATCATGAGTTTTTCTGACCAGGTGGACAAAAATAGGTAAAATTACATCTTAACATGCTTAACATTGATCTTTTTAAGCTAATGAAAGCCAATAGCTCCATCTCAATGCTCATCTCAAAAAATTCCCTGAAAATCCATTTCCCCAACCTCTGATGGAACTGTATGAAAGCTCCTATTCTGTTGCAAGGAGTGAAGAAAGAGCTCTACCCGCTGCCTCTACAGGACTGACTGAAACTCCTCTACCATACTCAAGAAGGAAGTCAGCCTTTTTTATTCTACTTGATAATTGGGAAACAGTAGTTGGCTTGCTGGACACTCCTACTAAGTCACAAGAATTTTCAGGTGCACTGAAGTTTCTGATGGAATACAGACAACCTTTGGCACTTGGACATTTTTCCTTTTGTTTTTGATTGAACAATATCAGGGATATGACTTTCCTACCAGAATCATTTGCCAGAGCTCTAAGGAGAAAAATGAAGTGTTTCTCAAGTAGCAGTAAAAGCCAGGACCCCTCAAAAGTAAAGGGAAAAAAAAACCTTCCTTTGACTTCCACCTAAATATCTTCAATACATCAAAAGTTTAGCAGAGGAAAAAAAAAAGGTAAACATCCAGTTTTAGATTTGAAAGTTGAAAATTTATGTAGTGCTGCTCTGAATTTTGATCAAGGAAACCCACCTGGCTCTCTCCAGAAGAGGTAACTGATCCTACCATGGCTTTTAGCTGTTACTGAACCAGCTCATAAGTGTATTGAAGAAGCATAAAACAAATCTTCTTCCATCACTCACTTATTAAATGATCACAGAAAAATTATTTTCATTCTTTACCCTTAGGGAAAAATGGAAATAGTATTTTTTCTCTTACAGATCTCATTAAGAAGGGTTTATGAAAAGCAATAAGAATGTAAACACAAGTACTTTGTAAAGTTATTATGCAAGTGTGAGGGTTGGCAATTGTTTTATAGAAGCTGTATGGGAAAATCTGTAGCACTATTTCACACAGCATTGTGATACACCATTTTGATGTTTCCCCAATTCCTAGAAAAGAAATCAATTCTTAAAATATACATGAAGCAGACTCCAGTATGACAAAAATCAATGAATACTGGCTCTGGAAGTGAATACAGTCCCCCTGCCCCCCGCCCCAAACACACTCTGACCCTACAAAGCCCAATTTATTCTTTGATCTCAGAACTTGGATCTCCTTATGCATCTACACAATTAATAGAATTTCCCCTCTTTTTAGGGTCTTTCCATGAAATATCAAGTTTAGCCAATTCTCTAAAATTTGAAATTTTCTACCTTTTTTTTTCATTTTTTAACCTGTTCTAGCCAAATGTTTGCTTAAGCAATGATGGTGACCCAGTACTTGCATTACTGCCATATTGCTACTGTCTTATTTAGCTACATTACTGTCATGTGACTATTCAATACTTTCATCCCTATTGCTCTCATGTGGAGTTGTCCTGGAATTCATATAACACCTTTACTAAATTTTGATTTGCTGTTGAGAAGTTTCAATTTTAGTTAAGTAGCACTTGCATGTATGTTTGTTGTGGCTAGAAAGTATTGTTCCTCTTAAAAGCTGATTGAACTACTCTGAGTCCTATGACTAAATCCTAATACAACAGGAAGGGAATTATTCAGCCCAGTTTCTAGGGAATCTAAGGACCAAACAGACTAAATGCCTTGCTTGGGGTTGAAGACAGAATGCAGACCAGGGTGCTCACAAGTTGCACTGCCTGGAAACAGCCAGTAGACTGTTCTGTGCTCTTCCTATACAATCTTTTATTCTCTACCACCTTCCCTCCTGATTAATACCTGCACACACATGTGCACACACACTTTATCCAGCATAGCCATGTCACAGTTCAGTTTTCATAGTCTCAGCTCCTACAGGTGAACTTCATAAACAGAAGTAACCAATCCTGCAGTATTCCCTCCTGTCCTTCAGCATTTCCTCCCTGGTCCCTCTGTCAAAAAAGGAGGGGTTCATTTTACATTTATTAGTATTTTTCTGAATACACTTTTGGAGGTGGGTGAATGATGAATGAGAGGCATAGGAGGCAAAAATGCACATGGACCATCTTTCTCTTCCGATTCCCCAGCTGAAAGAACCTGAGGAAAAGGAAATTTTCCCCACTGTATTCCAACTATCTAAGGATTTTTAGCAGACAAAATGTGGGCAATGGTGAAAATATACCCCCTGGCTTTCCAGCATCTTCTCTCATCTCCATTCTATTTTCACTGCCTTTCTGCCCCCTCCACTCCTAAAATGCTGTGAGCAGAGTGGAGAATTGACTCAATTCTTCCAACCTATATGCTGAGCCACCTCAGAAAAGCAGCTCAATTTTGGGGACATTTTTTTGTCTGCATTAATAAAATGGAAGGGTGGATTTGACAGGAATTGGGGGGAATAGTTTGTAATCTCTGTAAAAATAAGAGTATCTGAGTTTCACTTTGGGTGATGGTTGCTTGGGGACTTAGTGAAATTATTAAAATTTTAGTATCTATCGCAGAGTGTTCCGACTCTCTCTGTTCCTCTGTTCAAATTTCCTAAGTCCTACTCCCTCCCCACTTAGTCCAGAAGAGACTTACCTCACCCCAACTGCTCCCCTAGGTCTGCGGGAACATCCCACAGGAACGTCAGTAGTCCCTGTACCACCCCAGCTGCTGGCTCACCTGTCAGTAGCAGTCCCTGGTTTGAGCTCTGTGAATCTGTGTCCTGAAGGCAGCTCCCTGACCATCCAGATCACAGGACAAGGAAATGCTTTTAGCGATCCATGTTAAACCCAGCCACTGCCTCTAGGAATGCCACTGGGTCTGTTCCTCTGACTGCTGCTTATTCTACTCCTTCCTGGGAGTTCTGTACGCTCCCCGAGGGTGCCTGCCGGCTGATCCCCTGTTGCACCTGGTTTGGCCCGTCTTCAGCACCTCCTCTCCCTGGTTAGTTCCCCGGAAGGGAGTTTTCAGGACCACAGCCGCTGGGCAGCTCCTCGAGCTCTGGCTGGGGCCTCCGAGTTGCAGCAGTTTTGATTGTTTTCCCAGCGGACCAGGGAGGGGCGAGGCTGCCCACAGTCTAACTCCTCCCCTTCCCCAGCCAAAGGCACACCTACTTCAAGCGGCTACTCTGGCCAGGTCCCCCTTAGCCATGTGCTTGTTTGTTTGTTTGCTTGCTTGCTTGCTTAAGTGGGGGTTGAGTTGGTAGGAGGGACCTATGGGAGGAGAGTTACTGAAGTTTTGAGATAAAGAAAAAGAGGAGTGAAAATCTTTATCGTCAAAAAGTACAAAATGGGAGTGAAGCAATGTGGGCAGAATGGGGAAAGAGAATCAGAGGTAGACTTGGAGAGAGCTAAGAAGAGCGAATGAAGATGCTGGCGCGTGTTTGAAGAGCCCAAAAACGTCAGAGATGCATACCCCAGACGCAGAATCATGGACTTTGCCTTACACATGTGGATTAGTGATTTAGTTTTAAAACTTTGGAATTCTAAAAGTAGAAGAAAGAACTATCTTCCCCCTGCTCTCAACATGTCCAAGTTATTTCCATTTTAAAACAATTTTATTTTAATTAGTGAATATAAACAAAACCATCTCCGTATTTGTTGCACTATTCCTTCAATTTTTCTGTTTGTTTGAAATTTATAAAGACAAATAGCAAATGAATGAAATCTTTCATTTTAAGGACACTTAGCTCCTAGAATTACAAACTGGGATCGGCTACTGTTTTTCAAAAATACATTATTATGCATTCAGTCCACCTGAGTGGTGATTAACTTGGAAGAAGGGTTATATAATTCATAGAATTCCTATGGTATTAGGAAGTCAAATTAAGTGGTAAGAAAAATTAAATTACATCTGGAAAGATTTAAAGAAAATAGATATGTATGCTTTATGACAGAAAGCTGTGGGCCAGGCAACCAAGTCAAAGTGTAGAATCTTCATTTGGGAGATTATTAAATTTGGGATTTTGCCTGAGCAAAACATGACCAAAATCAAATGAATAATTGTGAGCTCATTTTAAGATGTAAAGGGTTTTTTAATCTTCTAGTGATCCAGGAGGGGAAAACGGGAAGGGTGTTTGAATAAAGCAATTGGCTGAATGATCTTCAGTAATTCAACTTCACTTCCAGTAACAGTTTTCACATCTGTAAAATGACCTGATCACTTGAGTTTTTTCCATAAGTAGTAAAATAGAATTCTGAGTCCAAGCTCAACCTCTTTTTTGAAAATAACTTGAAGGAAATTCCCCAGGCTTTTTGGAAATCACTTGCTCCACCAATGTGTCACATGTGTTGCACAGAGATGAACTATAAATATGCCTTGTATGCAAGGAAAGCTGCCAAAAGCTAAAACAAAAGATAATTTTACTGCTAATAAAGCTGCAAGGGATATCTTAAATTCAAATAGCTTTTTTTAATTCAGATATAGGTGTCATGTGACTCTTGTCCTCAGAAAACAAGAAAATTAAAATTAACACTTTTTTTCAGTTTTCATCATAAGTTATTCATCTGCAGGAAATATTTAAGCTTCACTAATCTTTTTCATATCCCTATCCAGGAAATACCTGCTCAGCAAAAATAAATTTCATTTTCAGAGTACTTAAATAGCACATGCTAGGAATGGTGGATTTCTAAAAACCAAATCAGAATCCACTCTTCAGCCAGGAGAAATTTATCTGTGGAGTAATTTGTGTTTAAGATAGCGCTGCAATGACCTCATACAGAATGTATTGATCCCCATCTTTGCGTCTTAAAAGCCATGTCCTTGGATATTTGAGTCAATGAGATAGGTGCCGTCGGCACCCCCAGAGAAGTGTTCAGAAGGCGGGGAGAACTAGATTAGCAGGAAGGGTAACATACTGAGACAAAGATGAGGGTGGGGACAGGACGTTCTGTGAGGCTCCTTGCTTTCTCTGACAGATGTAAGGGATTGACCACAATAGGATTAGCTCCCAAAATATGTTCAATTGTGTGTGTGTGTGTGTGTGTGTGTGTGTGTGTGTGTACCCCGCGCGTGCAGCCCCGGGGGGAAGAATGCTGAGTGTTAAGAGCTGCCTTTTGCAGAGCGAGGGACGGAATCTGTTTCACGAGGGTCACCCTCCTGACAGCTCGACAGTTATACAGTTGGCTATTCAACTCTGAGAGCAATAAGGGGTACGAGGGGTGCGGGCAGTGTGCAGAGGGAAGGAGGCAGTGACGGGACACAGAGCATTTTCATTCATTCTCCGCCCCCCACATGTTTCCTGGGCCAGAGGACCACTCCCCAGCCCTACTTCTTTCTCTGGTGCTTTTTGTACAGCTCTAAACTAACCTGTTAGAACCATCTGCTGGGTAGGGGAAATGCAACCAGCGCTTAGTTGCCAGCCCATTGAAGCAGAGAGAAGGGAGGCAACAGGCAGATTTATGGGCAGCAATCTGTTCCCCGCCCTCCTCCTCCCAACCCCCAACCCAGGCCCCTCTGCCAGGAGACAGCTTGATAATCCATCAACCCACTAATGAATTAATTAGTATTCCCAGTAATCCCGACCCCCAAAGGAGACCTGCTTGTGGGCCCCTAAGGGGGCTAGAAACTGCCTTCTTCGGCCAGACACTGAAGCCCTGGGACCAATGTCTGACATTAGGCCCCAGGGTGCTAAGCTGCAAGCCACAGACCCTGTGTTAAGATCCCCAGATGTCCCTCCTTCTCACCTTCCCTCGGGAGGCAGCTAGCTTTTGCTGAATTAAAACCAATACCACCGACAAATAGAATCTAGAGCCATAAATCAGACTATGTAAAGTAGGATGGTGAACTTCCAGAAAGCAAGTATTCAGCCTCTCCATATTCAGGATAAAACTTGAGCAGATACTAAAACTGCTCTCCAAAGATTAGTTCGAGGTTAGGGAGGGGTAGGGATGGGGGCAGAAGGTAAAGAAAGCACAGTCCCCAACCTCGGGAAGCTCCATGCTCCAGGAAGGAACCATGCAGGGTCAAAATTAATTATGAAATAGGTCGAAACAAAGTGATTTGTGACATGGATCTGCCCTGAATGAAGACTGGAATAAAGCAGACATGTCAGCTGAGTTTCTGATTAGTCTGGAGACTGGCATCTGGAAATACAAAAATCCTCTCTTACAACTGCAAACTCCTTCACACCTATGCAAAACTCTGAGATGCAGTAGGGTGGAAAAAGCTTGAGAGTAAGGAAAACCCTGCTGTAAACGTTGGTCTGCCTCTACCTGCATGGCCTTGATGAGTGATCCAAGCTCTCTGAGCCTCACGTCATCAACCAACGATCAGGTTGGATTATGATCTCTTAGGTTTCTTCTGGCTCCAACATTCAGTGATGATGCCATAGTTAAATGTGACAACTCTCCTTTGAGAGTGAGTAACACCAGCCCATTCAAAAGTATGAAGTCTGAGTGCCCAGGTCTGAAGAAGGTAACAAAACAGCTCAGTGACAAAAATGAGTCTAGAAACCAGGTAATAGACTTGAGAGTCTTCTGTCCACCCAGATTCCTAGTCTCTTTTGAGGACGCTTGACTCAATCTTCTCCCATCCCATTCATTCAAGACTTGTGTTTGGGGGCATGCTCAGTGACTCATTCCAGCTACAAAAACTACCTGCGTTTGTTAATAACCTGTTGAAAACTTCTGCACTTTTGAAAGCTCTGTACCATAGGCCTCCAGCATTCTTCTCTGCACTTGGTATGCTCCATTCCTAACAGCAAGGTTCTCTAGGATTCAGCTGAATCCTAACATTGCCATTCAGTAACCATATAACTTCGGACACGTTATTTATCTCTTCAGGCCTCAGTTTCTTCCTCTGTGAATTGAAGGCAATAATGCCTATCCAATCAACTTGCTCTAAGGAATATATATCTTATTAAATATGAGATAACATATACAAAGTACCTAGTATAGAGTCTGTCACTCAGCAAGTGCTCAGTAAATGATAGTTATAATTGGTATTTTTTCTTAAACACTTAAATCTGATTTTTCATCCCTTTGAAATCAAGAAAAACTAGAATCAGGATCTCCTTATAAAGATCCTGTCTCTGTGCTTCTATCTCAATACAAGTATTCCTTTTCTATAGCAATGGCCACACTATATTCATTTATCCAACAAATGTGTTTTATGCACGTACAAAGTCTTAGACACTGTTCAAGTTTCCAGTAATACAGCACTGAATAAGATTTCTCATTCCTAAATAATTTTCAGTATAGTGGCAGAGGCAGAAAAACAAAATTAAATAAATATGTAACTCAAAAACTCCATTTCTCCATCTTTTTAACATAATTCCATGTGCACCCAAGGAGCCATGTATGGAGCAGAAATGTTCATTGCAGTACTGTTTTTAATAGAGAAAAAAATACGTTATCAATACATTATGTACCAATAGTTAAGCCAAACAATAGAATACTATTTAACTTGCTTTCTGCATATATAC